GCCTTTGTGCGAGCCTTCTACTCCAATCTCCGCCGGGACGGGGACACCATTCGCAGTAGCATCAATCTCTACGACATAGAGATTGATCTGGCTACCTTCGCTCGGGTCGCAGGGCTGCCCACCCGCGGTGACGACATAACAACATATGGCGGCGATGATTGGATCCTCAACAACGAGGCGGTGGTCATCCGAGAGCTTGGGATCACCAACCTCATCCGTCACAGCGGCGCACCAACAATCCACTCAGCCCCGCTGGAGAAGCGTCTTCTTCTCTACATCCTCACCCGGATTCTTCGCCCTCGGGATGGTAGCCACACATGTCTCTTCAACGAGGATCTCAAGGCGGTTCATGCTATCACCCACGGCACCTCGATCAATTGGGCAAAATACGTCATGATTCACATGGCGGATTGCGCCTCCATTGCCACTGAGCGGAGCTTGCCATACGCCTTCCTCGTCATGGACCTCATCATCTCCGCCGACATCTCCATCGCCGGCCCGGATACGAAGATGACAAAGATTTGGATCATCCAAGACAGCACCTTCCGAAAGAAGTCCGGTGACGGAACCGGCGCTGGACCGAGTCGTGCCCGTGCCCCTGCCCCTGCCTCCGCTCCCGCCAAGGCGTCCTTACAGTCCATAGCCGATACTCTGAATCGGCTAACCCTCACAGTGGATGGCATGGGGCAGTCAATCGAGCAGATGGACTGGACGCTGCAACGCCAACACCATGACATGACGGCGTTCTTCCGCAGCATCAACTACGTCCCGCCGCCCTTTGACAGCACCTTCCTCGGCCAAAACTATGAAGGCGAGGACGAGGAGGATAACTCCTATGCTCTATCCTCCTCCCCCGACGAGGCCGACTTTGAGGACGCGGTCGACGGGGATCCCATGGACGTTGAGGACGACGAAGAAGACGATGACGCCGAGGACGAGGACGCCGCTGCCTAAATTCTTCTTTCTTTTCCTTCCTTCCTATGATTGTTTTTTTATTATTATTTCCATTCCGTTGTATTCCGCATTTTCTCCTTTTTTCATGAATAAAAGTTTACTTTTATACTCCAAAGTTCACTTTTAATTCTTTTTCTTAATGTCAAAAGGGGGAAGATATCAAGGTTATGCATAAATTGAGGGGGAATTATTTTAAATAAAATGGCATCTATTAAGGGGGAACACTTTTTTTAAAATCTCAAAGACTTCCTCATATGCATAACCTCATCTCGTTTGCCATTATCAAAAAGGGGGAAATTGTTGAAACACGGGCATGTCACGTTTTCGTACTAAAGCCGTGTTTGTTTTTATGACAGGTTTTGATAATGCCAAACCTCCGTGATCAATTCAAACTTTGAATATCCAAGGCGAAGAAGGAAGAAAAGAACAAGAGCTAAAAGAAGACCAAGAACGAAGACCTTAGTCTTAGTGTCGTTGAGTCGGTCTTCATTGTGATCAAGACCGACCCAATCTTTACACCTTGGCTCTTTAGGCTAAAAACCTTCATTGCACTTCTTAAATCATAAAAATGCTTTTCAAACATGTTTAAGTCATTAAAAAACACTTGGTGTTCGCCCAAACCAAAAACCAAGCCATCCGGTGTTCGGGTTTCAGAAACTGGCGTTCGGCTCTCGGTTATCGGCTATGGTTTTTGGCGTCCGAACCAACCAAGTGGTTTTCAACTTTTTCTGATTGGTTTTTACTCTTTGGCATGTTTAAACGGTTCTCCAACAAAAACACCTTGAAAACCATCTTTCGCTTTTGATCGTTTGACAAAAATCATTCAAAACGGCATAAAACTTGGCTAGCCGTGGTTTTCACTTAAATGACGTGGTTTTTAAAGTGTCTTACTCGATTTATTAGCCAAATACATCAAATAAGTGTTTTAAANATTAAAGGTTGATTCTTTCCTTGTTTGGAAGTCAACCTCCCACCCAGCGATGGGAAGCTTGTACCCATCGATGGGTAGGTGACCGTTGACTTCAAAACAGAAGAAAAATTGGCTTACCAGCGATGGTTGATTCTAAACATCGATGGGAAGCCAATATTCTGCAGATCCCAAATCTTTTCAATCCCATAAATCAAGCTAATCACTCCTTTAATGCATTGGTCCGTTGGAGCCTAATTTTGCACTATAAAAAGGGGTGTTTGGGTCTGCTTTTCTCACCAATTCACTTCACAACATCTATACTTTCATTGCATTCAAATATCATCATTTTCCATAGCTTTCTAGAGCCACTTGTGTGAAGGTTGAGTTGTTCTTGAGCGTACTTAGTTTACTCATAATCTACTCTATAAGAGAGTCTCGTTCTTGAGTGTACTTGTGTTCTTAGACACGTTGAGAGATATTATCTCTCTCTCGGTTGATTCAAAGGAAGGTCTGTTTCCTTTGAAGGATTCGTTGAGGTTCGTGTGACTCGAACTCTCAAGTTGTAACGGTTTGTTAAGCACCCGTAAGCTTAACGAGTTAGTAGTGTAGCTCGAGAGAGTCTCTCGGGAGGCTAGATTAGCCACAAGTTGTGGTGAACCAGGGTAAAATTCGGTGTGCCTCTTACTCTTCTCTTTACTTCTCTTTTAAATTTTCAATTCCCGCGATTTCTCCGACAAACGCTATTTACCCCCCCCTCTAGCGTTGGTCTTTTATTCTAACAGCTACCCGGAGCTGCAGGGCTACGACGACCTCGACGCGCAGCTTCATCAGGCCAGCCTTTGGCCTTTCGTCTCCCGGGCTCGGAAGGAGATCAACCCGGCGCTGATTCGGGTCTTCTACTCCAACCTTCGGCGTGAGGGTGACGTGCTCTACTCTCTTGTCAAGAGCACGCCGATAGAGCTTTCAATTGAGCAGCTTGGGCGCATCGCCGGCCTCCCCTACCAAGGCGACGACGTCTCCCACTATGGCGGAGAGGACTGGGTGCTCAACAACGAGGGCCTTATCCTCAACGAGCTTAGCATCACCGAGCTCATCCGCCATGCCTCGGGCCGCCCCACCATCCACACTGCTAACCCCGAAGGCCGTCTTCTTCTTTACATCGTGTCCCGAATCATCAAGCCCCGGAAGCATGGCCACACAATCATGTCCGGTGAGGACCTCAAACTCATCCATGCGATCATGCACTCGGCCCCAATCAATTGGGAAAAGTTTGTCATGATCAACATGACGATTGCTGCGTCCACCGACCACGATCACCTCCTCCCGTACCCGTTCGTGGTGATGGACATCCTTGAACGGTTCAAGGTGACCACCACCGTTGGCCCACTCACAAAGGCCACAAAGATTTGGGCGATCAGCACCCAAACCTTCAAGAAGCAGTCGGACAATGCCGGACCTGCCACTGCCGTGCCACGGCCCCGTTCTGCTGCTGGCCCAGCCGAACCCCAGGCCCGGGCCAACCTTGCCTCCATTGTTGACTCCCTCAACCAGGTGCACTTCAAAGTTGATGGGATGGATGGCTACCTTGAAAGACATGACAAGGCGGTCCAACGCCAAGGGTACGCCATGAACGCGTACTTCCAACGCGTTAACTACGTCCCCCCACCGTACCATGGCACGTTCTTTGGGCAGGTGTACGGTGATGAGGACGAAGACGATGCCTCCTACGACCCGTCAAGCTCCACGAACGAGGACGAGTTCGACGACGCCGTTGACGGTGATGAGATGGACGTCGACGACGACGAGGAGGAAACCGAAGACGAAGACTAGGACGCCCCTAGCATTTCAATCTCTTTTTTTTTAATTATCTTTTTTTTTAATGCCTCCGTTGTACTCCTCTATTTCCCTTTTTCAATAAATAAAAGTTATCCTCTATCTTTTTGTTAATGTCAAAAGGGGGAAGAAAAGAGTTATGCATACACTAAGGGGGAACGTCCCTAAAAACGGGATCGTTTGATTTTAATATGACAATTTTTTAAGCACAAATTAAGGGGGAACTTTTTCACTCTTTTCAAAGTCAAATATACCTTATTATGCATATTCTCGTCTTGTTTGCAATTATCAAAAAGGGGGAAATTGTTGGAACACGGGTTTACGCCTATGTCGTACTAAGCCGTGTTCGTTCTATGACAGGTTTTGATAATGCCAAACCGCCGTGACAATAACAAGGTTAAACTGAGCAAAACCAAGGCGAAGGAACATGGCATGATGAACTGAGAACCAAGAACCAAGAATCAAGAACGAAGACTTAGAATTATATTGAGTCGGTTTTAATGTGATCAAGACCGGTACAAAACTTCAAAACATGGCTCTCTAGGCTCATTTCATCAAAATATTTTTTGCATATTCAAAATGATTTTCTTAAGTCTTAAACCTGCCCGAAAACACTTGGAGTTCGCCCAAACCAAAAACCAAGCCATCCGGCATTCGGTCTTCGAAAACCGGCATTCGGCTTTCGGTTATCGGCGTTGGTTTTTGGCGTTCGAACCGACCAAGTGGTTTTCAACCTTTAATGATTAGTTTTTACTTCTGGGCATGTTTAAATAGTTCTCCAACAAAAACGCCTCAAAAACCACTTTCCGTTTTTGGTCGTTTAGTGAAAACCATGCGAAACGACACGAACTTGGTTAGTCGTGGTTTTCAACTATATGATGTAGTTTTTAAAATGTTTTACTTGATTTCTTAGCAAAATGCAATAAACAAATGTTTTCAATGCTTGGTTTTTACTTTGGAGGACTTGTGTTTTTGACATCGGCTAAGGGCGTGACTAAACCAACCATGGGTCTGGCTAAACCAGCCCAACAGTGATCTTGAGGTAACCAACAGCGCTGTCTGGCTTGGGTAGCTAAAAACATGGTTTGGCGTTAAGTCCTCCAACAGCGATGTTGGACATTAGACATCGTTGTTGAGCCAAGGTTGGATTTCCAGAAACTTCTGGAACAGTGATGTAGGCTTCCCTACATCGCTGTCCAACCTAAGCCAAAGATATTGTGCATTGGCAGAAAGGTCTTGGACAGCGATGTTGACCCAGAAACAGCGCTGTCAGGCCAAACTTCCATCTTCAAAGGCAGACCTAAATAGCGATGTTCTAGTATGGAACATCGATGTAGAGACCTGACCGTTGGAAGGAATTTAAGGCTAAAACTTTCCTTGTTTGGAAGTCAACAGCCAAAACAGCGATGTAGGGATTTTAGACATCGCTGTTGGCATGACAGTTGCTTCCCATTTTTCAAAACGCAAGCCTAGAACAGCGATGTCCAAGCCTAGGACAGCGCTGTCTCGGTGAATTTCAACAGATCCAAATTTCATCAAATCCCACAAATTGTGCCAATCACCCCTTAAATACTTTGGTCCGTTGGAGCCTATTTTTCTACTATAAAATGGGGTGTTTGGGTATGTTTTACATATCACATTACTTCACTACTCCTACTCTTTCATTGCAAATCATTATTCAATTATTCATAGCTTTTGAGAGCCAATTTTTTTGTGAAGCTTGTGTTGTGTTCTTGAGCGTTCTTAGTTTACTCATTATCCACTCTAAAAGAGAGTATTGTTCTTGAGTGTTTTTAGTGTTCTTAAACACTTGACAAGAGAAGGTATTTCTCTTGTTGTTCGAAGGAAGGGCTGTTTCCTTCGAAGGTTCGTTGAGATTCGTGTGACTCGAATTCTCAAGTTGTACGGGTTTGTTAAGCACCGTTAAGCTTAACGAGGTAGTAGTGTAGCTCGAGAGAGTCTCTCGGGAGGCTGGATTAGCCACAAGTTGTGGTGAACCAGGGTAAACTCGGTGTGCCTCTTACTCTTCTCTTTACTTCTCGTTTATTCATTTTTTTATTCCTGCGATTTTTGATCAAACGCTATTCACCCCCCCCCCCCTCTAGCGTTAGTCTCTTATTCTAACAGGTCATTCTGTTTTCATGTAAATTCTATTAGATAACAGCAAATATAAAAATATAACCAAAGTCCTAAAGTATTTTCAATGATACCCCCCTCCCCCTCCTTCTCCTGCCTTTGCTTTCTACCCCGGGTTTTAGTGTTGTCCTCAAGAACATGAGGGTCTGTCGGGATTGCCATTCTTTGATAAAAGTATTTCATTAGTATCAGCCAAAGAGAGATTTAAAGAGATTCCATGTGTTTAAAAGATTGTGTTTGCTCGTGCCAGCATTACAACGCCAGATTCTCTTGACATTGAATGGTTTGGGTGTGTCATTTCTTAATAAAAGTTATTTGTTGGAAGAAGTGATTCTGTCATTGATAAAAGTTTACTCACGTGTTTAAAGGTTACTTGTTTACTCCCCTTTTAAAAAAAGTTTCATCTATTACTGTGCCCCAATTTTATCCAAAAAAGTAATGTGATTACTTCAATCACCAACCATATTACAAGATTCTGTCTAAAAAGTATTGATAGTGCACTTACAACCCATATTACTAATAATAGGAAAAGTACTGATACTGCACTTAAAACCCATAGTGCAACTACTACAACAGCATACTTAAACATAAAAGTTTTTTAAACTTGGTTACATTTCCCATGCCAATGCTCAGCCCTCTTGGTCAGCCCTCCTGTTTGCATATAACAGCACTTCTGTTGCAATTTTTTTCCTGAAACTCTCAATGCCTGCAACATCCACTTCATCCACTTCCATCCCCATGATTAGATGCTCAGCCATCTTTACAACGAATATGCCACAACTCACCCTACATATTATTACGTACATTGGACATTATGGTGCTTTAAGTATATTACATGTTATTAGGTACCTAGAAAGGACATTTATAATATCTACGAACTTACGCGTCCTGTTGTTGTGGGCAATCATTTACGTTCACAATGCCTAGCACATCATCTCCCATCTCAGGCATTCTCCGCTTCTTGTACACTTCCAGTTTGTCCATCACCTTTAGCAGTAAGATCTATAGACATGGAAGGTATGGTTTTGTGTGGCGACTCGTCTTTCCCTTGTTGTTAGAATCATACAGCCTGATGCATTTCTTTGATATGTCAAGCACAGCCAGTATCCACTGGTTTCCAGTGTTGATTGGCATGTAAACGTAATCGCATTCTGCCCAGCGTCCTCCCAATTCTGGCACAGCCCCTACGATTGGTTTCAGTATTGAAGTGTTCAATGTTGCTTCAGCAATGGTTTTCCTTTTTCCCAAGTAGTTGTCATATTCTTTCTTCAATAGACTGACAAATAGGCTGTCTGTTACTGCAAATGGTTGGGTCAATCCATATTTTTGTGCTTTCATGACCAGGTGTTTCAAGGCTACAGTTACATGCTGTAGTAGATAAAGTATTGTAAGTCATTAGTATATTTAAAAATCCATAACCATATTTTTATAATCGTTTAATAAAATGTGTATGTTCATACTTACCACATCATCCATCCATTCATGAGGGTAGAAAAATCCATAGTACCATGTTTTTGTCATTGTTTCGTCATGCCCCCACAGTGGCCGAAATTCTTCTGGGTTTAAAGCATTTTCCCGGCTTGTGTACTTTGTGTCATTTGCTTTTTTTATTCTTGCTTAGGAGACCTTGTGCTAAAAACAACTCCACATTCTCAGTAGTTAATGCTAATTTCAGCCCTTCGGGATGACTTTCTGCCATGCCTGCTTCGGCCTCCACATTGTTGGGTTGCGAATTGTCATCACCACCATCTGTGGCTTTCTGTTTAGATGTCTGTGGTCCTTGTCTGCTCTTTGCCTTTCTTGTCTTTAATTTTTTGTCAAAATGAGTAAACTTATCTGGGCATTTCACAACCCTCTTCTGTCTTGTATTGTCTTCTGGTTGGTCAATGGCAATATCCTTAGGGTGTTGTTCTTCAGCATCAGGGCCTTCGGCTTGTTCATCCTGAATGTCCTCAAGTTGACCAACATTGAGCTGTGGTTTAGCATCTATACCATCACTAGGATCATCATTGAGGACTTGTTGTGGTTCAGTGGGAATATCATTGAGGATTTGTGGTTGTTTAGTGGGAATATCAGTGAGGACTTGGAGTGGTTCAATGGAAACAACATTGGGCATTTGTGGTGGTTCATTGGGAATATCATTGACGATTTGTGGTGGTTCAGTGGGAATATCAGTGAGGACTTGTGGTTGTTCAGTGGGAACATCATTTAGGAGATGTGGTTGTTCAGTGGGAAACAAATAACTGATGATACCCTCTACGACCTTTGGTTGTTCAGAGTAAGGACCAATGTCCCAAATGGCTGGATCCAAATCCTCTGCTGCCTGTACAAATCAAATGTAATGCAACAATTAGTCATTAGAAATAAACAAAATGACACTCTACCAACTGAAAAATGTTCCATAGTAACTAGACTAAATATACCCGAGCAGCTTGTGATGCTGTTTCCACATTGTCAATGACACTCTCCATTTTCTGGCCTTCCTCCAAACCATCTTCCATCGCCTATAGCATGATTTATCTCTTAGTATGTAATTTCAACTCCAATTGCAACCATTTTATTAAACATAATCATGTAGCTTTGCATTATATGTTTTAGTACGTACCTGCTGGTCAATGACTTTATTGTCAATGCCTTTCTGGTCATTGATTTTATGTAATGTTCCCAAATCAGCTTCAACCACGTGCATAGTTTCCTGTGTCATCAAGATGAACAATTAAATATGGTCATTGTTGGGATGTTAATTGCTAAAAATTTATGTGTCAAACCGGGCAATTGTGATCAGTGTTTGCCTCAGTCAACAGCCCATTCATCCAATCAATGTCCATGTCTTCTCCCTTCTCCTTTACACAGTCTCCAGTCTTATCTTGTTCCAAATTTTGACCTTCCTTTTTATGAGCAGTCTGTGGTGTACAATGTAGATCAATGCCTAAATCAAAACTTGGAAACTGAGTGTCTTTCTTGCTGGATTCCTTACTTTGTGTTTTCCCCAAAATGCCAGCATTTTTCAGGCATTCCTCAACCAATCCCCATTGTTTCTGGTTTTCCTTTCTGAACTCTTGTATCTCACTTAACACTTTTCTAGTCTTCTCTTCCATGTTAGCTGCTATACTCTTCACCATTTTCTCCAAAGATTTTATTTTGTTCAATGTTTCATTCTTCCATTTTTCATCTCTGGCACCATTCTTCTCCAAAATGATTTGAGGACTGTGTGTTTTTATGTCTTTTTAGGATTCATTTTTGTCTTCTCAGGGCTTAAGTCTTTTTGGATGCATTGCTCGGGGCTTTTCCTCTTTCTGGCGTTTGCTGTAGCATGTAAAGCATCCCCATGTTCACTCACAACAGCTGTTTCTGGCATGGTCATGTTTAGTATCCGAAGAGATAGGCGGTTCCTGGCTTTTTTTAGAATGACTTTTTCTTCATCAGATTTGACCATCTCTGTCCACTCAAACTGCAAATCAAAACAATGGCATATTATGATTCAATGTAAATTTAATTTTGATAAAAAAAATACAATATTATATACAAAACAGTACCCCACACATCTCTTTTGTTTTTTTAAGTTTTACCTTTTCATTTTTGAATATTTTCTTCTCCAACAACTCTTTGGTGGTCCTCCCGTCCGCTGACCATCTCAATGCCCTTGGCCATGATGTCTTCTTTCCTTCGTCCAGTATACATTCCTTCTCTTGCATCAGTGCTGGAAATGTTTCATACGCCCATATCTGTAAAGCGAAATGGAATCCAGGGAAATTGAACCTTGGTTTCTTGCTTGTATTCATAATACAACAGCATTTCCGAACATTCTCTACCAGATCTTTCCACATATCTTCTCCCCATGGATACCTATTAAACTTGGATAAATCATCAACCAAGTGGAAATACAGTCCAGGGAGTTTAATACTTGGTTGGTTACCAATTATACAGGTCCCTAACATGTATAGGAGCCCCAACTTCACTGCATCTAAAGCTTCTCTATTTTTATTTCTCTTGACTCTCTCAAATTCAATCTTCACATCTTCTCTTGTCACATTCATTTGACCATTGAAGTATCTTTTACTTATGTCACTTGGTTCTGTATAATTCTCCATTTTTTCACTGCTGCTCCCAAACCTAAAACAACTCACCTCCTGGAAGTCTTTCTTTGTGAATTTAATCAGTCTGCCACAAATGGAAAATGAAATTTCTTCAGAGGCGTGCACTCTGTCCATTGGCTCCACATGGTTGAGTGTGAGAAGAATCAGTAGTTGGCCATTAACACATTTCAATTCTCCAACGTCTAACCAATATCCAAAGGCAGTCTTTCGAAATTCACTTAGTTCGTCTTTTAAAAGCACTTCTTTCAACTTCTTAACCTCATTACCAACATTGCAGTATGAATTTGTTTTAGCTTCAGTTTTTGTATCAGTAGGTTCGGCTTACATAGGCGTTTATAGACCTATCACATTAAACAAAATTCTGTTCACTTCGTTTCCAAAACACAACAATAATTGCATTAGAAAGTATTTTACGTTTTCATACAAATGCCTTAGAGGACATTAATACACCAATTTCAATGCACAGTAACATCCGCTTGACTTTATGCTTCTCATAAGCAATCAAAATTTTATGGCCCAAACAAAAATGTCATTATATTCATTTTAAGACTTAACAGGACATTCATTCACTAACCAAAGACATTGTCTCATCTTCCACAAATATCATTATATTCATTCAAATGCCTAACAGGCATTAATACGCCAACGGAACACATAGTCTCATATTTTGTAATAATCCAGGTAGACATTATCAGACATTATTCTTATTAATAGACATTAGTAGACAGTAATACGCTAACAGAACACATATTCTCATAATTTGTAATAATTCAGGTAGACATTATTAGACATTATTCTTATTAATAGACGAGTAGACAGCAATACGCCAACGAAACATAGTCTCATAATTTGTAATAATCCAGGTAGACATTATCAGACCTTTCTTATTACACAAAACCACAATTGAATTGTGTTCAAAGCACAAATTCATCTGCTGGATTTATGATTCTCTTAAGCCTTCAAAACTTATATCTCAATGAAAAAACTGTAATAATTAGACATTAATAAAACCGAGTAGACAGTAATTACACCAAGTAGACATTAATAGACGACATTGTAGACATGCTCAATCGAAAACTCATAACTATTGAATTCAATCAACAATAACAGAATGCATGCCTTCAATCAATTTCATAAACTTCAATTTCATAAAGTTCAATTCATGTTCATCAATTTGAAATTGTAAAATTCAGAGCTTACGAGTCCGTTAGGCATTGTCAGAAACATATCATCGGATTCCCTCGTCACAAAATCGTTGTCTTCGCTTTCACCTTTCTTAGACGCCATTGTTACCTTCATGGAAGCCATTGGTATCGCTTTCCTAGATTCGCTCTCTCTCTCTCTCTATTTTCGCTCCTTTAGATTTGCATCGAGAGAAGGTGAACCTGGATTGTTTAATGCCCTGATCGATTATCTTCTCGTTTCCCTAGATTTCTTCTCGCTCATAAATGTCTCTCGATTTTCGGAAATTGCGGCTTGCGCGTTTCTCCAAATCCAGCGGCCAGGGTTATTTTAGTCATTCTAGTCATTAAAAAAACATTTCCGGTAGTACTGGTCCTACTTTTGGAAATTAGAAAAGTTTTAGTACCATATTTGGAATTTTCCCTTTATAAATATGCAATCCCTACTTTTAGATTTATCAAGAATATATACTCCGTATATAATATCAATTTCCAAAACTCTAATTTTCCTCTCTCTTATCTACGAATCTTCTACCTACTCTCTCTTCCCCATCTACCTCTTTCTTCTCATTTTTATCAAATTCTTCTTCTTCAATTCCTCAATTACTTTTGAATCTTTGAGAACGCTCAAAGTTCTTATGTGCGTGTGTGGAATAAACACCAGATGACGTAATGCTCACCACTGCAAACTACAAAGCTTACCAATTGTCAATGCAAAGCTCACCAAGAATTCAAGCAAAGCTCGACACTTTGAACAAGAAAACTCACCCTTTTTTAACTGTAAAAATAAAAAATTTAATTAAAAATAAAATAGCAACATCGGTAAACCACCGGTCGGCGGCGGCGACCGACAGCAGACGGCGATAAGCGGAGGTTAGCAGAGTCAGTCAGCGGTCAAAGTCCAATCAATATGGGCCAAAGTCCACTCCTTTAAATTTTTTTTATGAAAAAAACAAAGTGATGAAAAAAATATGTCAGCTTTGCCATACAGCTTGGGGAGCTTTGCATTGACAGTTTGTGAGCTTTGTAGTGTGTAGTGGTGAGTTTTACGTCATTTGATCGTCGAACCATAACATGTCATCTGATCTGGTGAGAATAAGATCTTATCAAAGAAATAAGAAAGCTTCTGTTAGAGTTAGAAGAAGGAAGCGGGATTGAAGAAGGAAGCGGGATTGAAGAAGGAAACCAAATCCCGCTTCTTTCTTCTATCTCTAACAGCTTCACCACAGTTGGATCTGCTTCTCTAATCATTGACACGCAAGGGCCTTCTAGGAAATGTGTGATAGACCAAAACCCCTCGGGTGTGTATTTTTTGGGGGGTGGGGGGGTTTATCTATATAAACCCTCCCATTTTTAAAAAAAATACCACACTCTCATTTCTCAAATCTCAATCCCTTCATCTAATCATCTCAATTAATTTCTATTATCTCTCTTCAATCTTTAATTCTTTATACATTTTATATTCATATAATAATATAAAATTATAAATATATATTAATATATTATAAAATATATAAATATATACTCATATAATATTAAATTTTTAGTACTACATTCATATATTACTAATATATTATATTGTTATAAATTAATATTATAATTTCAAAATTCAATATAAAATTAATTTTTTTAATATTTAATATAGTCCTTTTTTTCAAAATAAAAATATATTTAAATGTCGAAAGAGTCGAGTAGAAGGTCAGTGGGTAGATTTCTGCATCAAAGGTGTGCTTGTTATGTTTTAAATTTATGTGTTCAACAGGAATTAGAAGCTATGGGGGGGAGGTTTGACGAATATTAAAAATGGAATTAAAAATATTTGGGGTAGTCGTATTCATACGAAAGCTTGGAAGTCATACTGTAAATCTAGGGATAGAAGACTAATAATATTTGCTAAAGATATTACTGTTAGATGGAATAGTACATACAAGCTCATATCACAGATTCTAAGCTACAAAGAGGAACTTGCTGCATTTCTTTGGAATGAACTTCATTTTATGATTTCATTGAATGAATTTGTTATTGTTGAAAAATTAAATGCCGTATTAGAAGTTTTAATAACGCAACTCTTACTTTCTCGCATGTTTACCAACCAACAACAAATAGATTTTTTTAAAGAGTGTGTTACAATTGAAACATGTTTTAGTGAAATTTTAGTTCATCCAGACTCGTACCCCTATGTCTCTTCTATGAGGAATAAATGGTGTGCTTATTATTTGTACATTCCTGATATTTATAAAATTGGTATTATTTGTGATCCTCGCTTTAAGATTGAAAATTTTAAAATTTTGATTGAGTATTACTAAACTTGTTTTTTAGATGAAAATAATTATTACTACAACCATTTAAAGAATATATGGTAATGCACTGGAAGAAACAACACCTCCTCCGCCCCAAAGCAAAAAAAGATTTTAAAGGAATAGTCGGTGGGCTTTTGCAAAAAAAAGGTAAGCGTGGTCAGCCTTCGACGAGTTCAGGTGGTACAACTGTAAGCTCGCACAACGAACTTCTTATGTACCAAGGGGTGCCATGCAATTACGACGACGTGGACTTTGACGTCCTTGCATGGTGGAAGCAGAACGAACACATGTTCCCATGTCTCAGAATGCTAGTCAGGAAAGTTTTATCCATCCCGGTATCAACCGTAGCTGTGGAACAAGAATTCAGTTCTAGCAGCAACATTCTAATCGACTACTGAAGTTGTCTTAGCGCTGAATCTCTTGAAACACTTGTTTGCAACTGACATTGGCTCTTGGCATGACGTCGAGCTCAAGAGTCGGGGTATGAATTCAATTCTGAACATTACATGAAAGCAACCAAAGATGGAAGCCCTAGTTCTGAGGAATAAGTTATAAACTTTTTTTGTGTTAATGGAATTAGTTTTTTTAGGTGACCGATATATAAGCTTCTTCGAGGTTTTCTTTACGGTTCTTTACCTCGTCGCTTTTTTTGAACCGTCAGGATATTAAATGTAGTTGTTCGCGTATTAGTATTACTCATTTTTGAATATTTAAATAACAACTACATTT